GTATTATAATTTCTAAGTTATTATTTTTGTATCAGACACCTATGAACTCTACACATTTTATGTTTAAAGTGTAGTTAATTATGTAGGTACCTATAATTTACTTTAAAATCAATCGTTTTGTTTATACATTTAAAATGTTATATAGTTGTTTAAAAATAAATGGTTTTGAGATTTGGAACCTACCTACTATGAAAGAATTTACCATCAATTTACATACTTTATAAATATTTTCAATTTTTATGTAATATAACATCACCATTCGTCATATCTTTGAGTATATTTTTTCATCATTTTATAATAAATCTAATTAATTTACTTCTTCATCTGACCACATTAAATTAGTTACTCGGAATACAAATTAAATTTTTCAAATTTCAGCAAACAATAATATTTCTGTTTGTATTCCGGAAAAGTATTTATTCTTGTAACTTTCATTTATAATAAAGGTTTTAATAATAATACTTATTCGGGAGCTACTCTGTAAGTAAGTACTTAAGAAATGACGTTACTGTAAAGAATCAATAATCAATGGATAACAAAAGAAATATTTGTTGAAAGCAACGAAAGTTGATTAATGTATCTGTTATAATAGTTTACAAACATGTTTTATTTACTATTTATATATTTTTATTTTTATTTAATTCACTTACATTCTAGGTATAAAACATATAATATTAGCCCTATAACATACAGTTTAAAATTGGAAAATAGTAATGAAATCCAAACTATCGCAATAATATATGCAGCATACGATATTTACATTTCTAGATCGATAAAACTTCTAGTTATTCTATAATTAATTTAAAATGCTAATAAATCCTTCGTTTTAACTTTTTTGGAATTTTAGTTTGTATGAAAAATTAGTTTTGTAGTCATGTATATCATATAAATATATTATAATTAAATTACTAATAAATTAAATTTAAGCGTGTAACTATATGGCGTTGTAGCGTTGTATTCAATGGTGCTTTAAAATTGCCTATAATAAAACCACAAAACGTTTATACAGAAACGAGAAATTTGTCATAGACGTTTAAGTGAAAAATATGTATTTTATAAAGCCTAGCTATAATTAGATTTTTTTGTTTTAAGTCTCGTGTAGTTTTTATCCGTGTCATGGTCATAGATGCTACCCCTCTCGAGTTAAAAAATAATTTATTATAATTAAATCAGAACATTATGATATTGCCAAAAGAACAATAATCGTAAAATAAATTATTGTTTCCCCCATTAAAAAAAAAAAGTTTCATATCTGTTATGTTTTATTTTATTATTATATTATTCGAGTATTTTTTAAATAAACATTGTAATTCCACTTTAGTACATTCATAAACCAAGAACAAATTTACTACCAAAAATTCAAACTTAAAGCCTCTTAACTTACCTTTATTCAAGCAACATTTGACCGCAATATACAGGTTGTTGCACGATAAATGTGTCAAACTTCTAGAGGTGTTTCTACACCTCAAATGGAACAATAAAAGTCCTTGTGACCATAATCGAATTATCAATAATAAGGGTGATAATTTCCATGTTTGTGTTTTTTTGTTAAACTCAAGTTTGATTCATAATTTCATAATAATGTTCATATCTGCTAAACCGTAGGTACTACAATTAATTTGAATACATTGAAAGCTCATAACATTTTTATTAGGAAAACATATCTTACAAGGTTCCCACCTGATTTTTTGGGTAAAAAGAATAACACACATTTTTATAACTTTAAATGTCGAAATTTAAAAAAAAATCAGTTTACCAAGTTTTGTATTTATTCATTATTGCTTAGAATTCGTTTACGTTTTTCCCGGTTTTTCCACGCATTAGGTGGAATAGCGCCCTTCAAAAAGGTTTAACGAAAAAATCGAGTACACTGTTGTAACATTTTGAAGTTTTTTTGAAATTTGCACCCACCTGCTTTAAATAAAAATTGTTGTAGGATAAAACTGAAATTTTTTAAAATTTTGAAATTTAAAGTTATAAAAAATGTGTGTTATTTTTTTTACCTAAAAAATCAGGGGGAACCTTCTAAAATATGTTTTCTTAATAAAAATTGTATGAGCTTTTCATCAATGTATTCAAATTAGCTGTAGTACCTAACGTTTAGCAGATATGAACATTATTATGAATCAAACTTGCGTTTAACACAAAAACAGAAACATGGAAATTATCAACCTTATTATTGATAATTCGATTATGGTCACAAGGACTTTTTTGTTCCATTTGAGGTGTAGAAACACCTAGAAGTTTGACACATTTATCGTGCAACACTTTGTACATACTTTTAAAAGTAAATTTTATTTTTTATAAATTTATGAATATTTACATACATTTTTTGAATTTGGTTATTAAAATAAAATATAATATTTAATTAAGGGGATTCGATACCGTGATTTTCTGTTTTTGTCCAACACACGGGTGACATAGTATTTTAGACGTGTTTTTTGTCAAACATTCCAATTGATCTATTGAAGCGATAAGATTGCCGAAAACAGATTTGAATTTGTCGTCATTCGTCAAGTCTACTTGAAATCGACTTTCCCACATTTTTGATTTTTTGATTTTAACTTCTCCAAAAATTGAAATACCAGAATTTTTAAATACTCTTTTTGAAAATGACATTTTAAATAATTTGGGGGATAATATCAGAAATGTGGGAAAGTCGATTTCAAGTAGACTTGACGACAAATTCAAATCTGTTTTCAGAATTCTAATCGCTTCATTAGATCAATTGGTATGTTTGGCAAAAAAACACGTCTAAAATACTATGTCGATCGTGTTTTAGACAAAAACAGAAAATCACGGTATCGAATTCCCTTAACACTTAATTGATTTGTGTATAAAATATAATTTCAAAGGTAATTTTTCGACTATATAGGTACCTGCCGATTGTAATCTGGTCACACGCGGAAGTATATTAAAATACACCTAGTTATATTTAAATGCAGCTATTTTTAATGTTGAGTAGGTACATTTTAATAGATCTTGTTTTTCGCAAGTTTACGCAAGTCACTGAAATAATTAATTTTTGCAAAAAAAATATTTAAACGTATGCACACTTTGAATTTGTGTCTTTGTGAATTAAATGACATTACATTTAATTAAATATTTTGGCATAAAATATATTAAACTTTTACTTTAGAAACAATTTATTTTAAATGTCATGATTGTATTGGTATAGGTACTAGATTCTGAACTTTTGAAATTAAAATGTTAATTCTATGATCTCTTAACGAACATAAAAATAATAAATAGCTTTTATACACTTAGGTACATATTATTTATTAGTATATTTTTTACTGATTTAAAATGTCTAAGTAAAATGTCAATCTAGTGACGTATTCTATATAACTATTTAACTTATAACTATTATCATGCTACTGTGTTATTATATCAACCTGTCTTCAGTACCTATTTAATACTTGTATCAAAACATTAAATTAAAAAGACATGTGCATTATGCATTGCCAAATGTTATTACGTTTTAATAATAAGCATGTACATTTACGTCGACACTATTGAATGCTCATTAATTATCAATGCAAATTTTATTTTATCGATCTAATTTTATGTGTTGAATTATTTTTTTTAATTTGCAATAAATGGTACATTATACATCTACGCGTAGACCTAACCAACGTTTGCACTTATGCTGTTGTGCTCCTACTGTTTTAAATATTTATGTATTGAGTAGTTTATATTCTACATTTTTTTGTGAACATTTATTTGACTACGTTGAGTTTAAATTTGGTTCGTTATTTTAGGAATTTAGTATAATATTATGTGATATATTGTAGGTATATACTTCTCAACTTTATAATTGTTGAGATTTCTGAATAAAAATAATGTTTTGATCAGATTAAAACAAATAACAGACAACATTAATGATAAGTGTTGATATTTTGCAGAGAATAATGTATATTTGGCAACTCGCGGGACCATAGATTAGTTAACTATTTCTGGACCATTTAAGTTATGTGACGTGAAATGGAATGTGTTTATCTAATTTTAGAATATTTAGGCCTTGTGCAAGGAATAATAAGGAATGATTAGTTACATCAAAAATTATTATTTTTGAGTGTATTCTATTTTCTCTGATTTGCTAAAAAAAAATGTGAACCTGCCAAATATCGATATTCAGCGGCCATGACTTCTAGCTTGAATAATATTGTGTTGTTGTAGATTGTAGATATAGTGTAATAGTTGTTTATGAAAATGTCAAATAACATTTTCAGACTACTGATTATTTGAAAAGTATTATTAAGCAACAAACGTAAAATGTATATAATAATTATTATCATATCATATTTTTGTTATAAAATAATTATCGATTATTTACAATATTTACATTTTACATGCTAAAAGAACAGTGTTTAAATTAGATTAATAATTGTTGATCTAGTATTATTACATAATTATTCATACAATTATATACCATTTTAGTAGAGGGTTATCTTATACTTAAAGTTTTCAGAAGTAGATACTATTGTTTTAAATTAAATTTAAATAATACGATACCTCTTGATGTATATTGTCACTTATTTTATGGCATTATGCCATGATGCCACGTAATAAAAATTGAACATTACACGCATATGATGTAGCGTGTTACTTTTCCGTTTTCACTTATACTACAGAACTAAAAAAATATTTTAAATATTTTTTACTTTAAATTGAAAAAGAAAAATATTTATATAGGGAACAAAAAAATTATATAAAAAAAAAATTTGAGCACCATGAGGTTAAAAATATACATTGAATACTATATTTTTGATTAATCAATAAATGCCTCTATACATATTGCTTATAATGTAAGCTTTTATGATTTCTAAATACATTTTTATCTTGAATTACATTATTTTTTGAGTTATAACATTTTTTTATCAAGAAATGTTTGTTAAAATGTATTTCTATGATCGAATTAAAGTTTAATTTGTTAGGTAATACATTTTCATGAAAATAATGGTATACCATGCTGATCTTTATATCTTTCATTATCTTAGACTTGAACAAAGATAACAAGACTGAAACGGTGCAAGGCCATAATGAGCCAGTAGAATTAAGTTTTGAGCAGCAGCAGCAGCAGCAGCAGCAGCATGTTGCTGAACAGCCTAGTAGCTCAAAGCCTGAACGACCTAACTCGCTCACGGGTCCTGGTGGCACGCTCACCAGACGCCTGTTCTGTTACCATGCACCTAATCAGTCCTTATTGGTAGGATCAGGTCAGTCACCTACGAGACCTCCAAATTCACTATTGCCATCAGGTAATTAAACTACTAAATGGTAGCTATAGATGTACATGAAATCATTTTCTAATATGTTTTTTTTTCTGATTATAGGTTGTGAATCTCCAAAGTTAAATTGTGATAGGACATCTTCGATGATTATGCCTGGACAAAATATGTCACAGATGGCCAGTGGTGTTAGGACAGGCTATTATCATTCCAGCCCTAGGATGATGTATAACAATCATCCTGGGCATTCATCATTAATGCTTTCTGATTTACCTGAACCCCCTATACCGGTGTCTGAAGTCGGTCCAATACCTCCACCACCCATGTTCAGCTCACCAGCTCAACAATCATACTTATACCAACGTAATAAAACTATAAACAATAAATACTGTCAAATATCTAAAGTGTTTTGTCTAAATAGATAACAATCGTCAAAATCATCGTGCCAATGATAACAATGACGAGGAAATGGAAATGGCAACTAATGAAGATGATTATGACGATGAGGACTATGATGAAGAAGAAGATGATGATGATGATGAAGAAGAAGTAGATGATGATGACGATTCTAATGGATTTAGAATAAGAAGTCGTCACAATTTTCCTAGTCATATAGAGCAGATTCCTGCTAAAGAACCTGTTTTTAATGCACAACCTCTTAAGTCAGCACTGAAAAAACCATCTACGCCTAATCAAAGTCAAGAATCATCACAATTGCTCAAGTATGTTGTTGAATAATAAATATTAATTTAAAAGAAGTAAATAAAAATAATTTGCAATAGTCGAGGTTATAAGAAAGAAAAGTGAATAGTTTGCCTTTTTGCCAATTATTTGGCAATCGTTTGGCTCTTCATTTCATTATTTAAATTTTTCTTAATTTGTTTATCGCTGCATAGCAGAAGGGCTCCACTAAAGCCCAGGATACGTTTTTGGTAAATTTAGTTTAATTTTTAAACTGTTCTACTATTTATGTTTTTGTTAATTAAATTGCAGTGGTGCTAATCGTCCAGTAGTGTTTGGAATTTCACTTCCGTGTTCATTACAAGAGAATAAAGAAAATGCTAGACCTAATGAGTCTAGTGATGATGACAGTTCTGGTGATGGACCTATATTGTACAGAGATGATAATTTAGACAGTAAGTTAATTTAACTATTAATTTAAGTTTTACATACATTTGACCAAACTCAATAATGATTCTGGCTAGTAATTTGGGTACCAATTCACGATTATAATTTATTTTTAGATCGATTGGCCGAAAAAATTGCAAGGAAAGACAGTCTTGCTATTAAACTGGCTTTGCGTCCCAATCGACAAGAGCTCATTAATCGTAATATTCTTCAAGTTCAGAGTGATAAGGAGCGACAAGAAACAAAAGAAGTGATTGGTGCACGTCTTATTAGGTATTTACATAATATTGTACTTGTTAAAACGTTATACAATTATTAATAAATTGTTTTTCTTACTAAATTAATATAAATTAAAACCATTTTGTAGACGTTTGAGCATGCGTCCAACACAGGAAGAACTTGAAGAAAGAAATATCTTAAAAAGTAAACTATTTTTTTTTTACATAATATTATAATTGAAATTAAATTTTTCATTAATAAATTGAATTTCAGAACAAACAGCTGCGGAAGAAAAAAAATTAAAAGAAGAAAAGAAACGCATGTTATTAAGAAAATTAAGTTTTAGGCCAACAGTTGACGAATTGAAAGAAAAAAAAGTAATTGTTATTTAATTTTAAACCTTATATATAATATATGTATTTAAAATTTTTAAAATTTTATATGCTATAGATTATTCGATTCAATGATTACATAGAAGTAACACAAGCACACGACTATGATCGACGGGCTGATAAACCATGGACACGGTTGACAACCAAAGACAAAGCAGCTATACGAAAAGAACTAAATGAATTTAAAAGCTCAGAAATGGAAGTGCATCAAGAAAGTAAACATCTTACCAGGTTAGTTTTAAACTTATTGATACTTTATTATATAATAGACAAAAAAACTTAGATCAACCATCAGTTTTCTTTAACTTTTGTTTCTGGTGATCGACCGCAGATGTAAAATTGCTTTGTCGTGTTCATCTTAGGAAAATTCAAGCTAGACGGTTGATAGAATAATAAAGTGACACTCCCGAAAGCCTAGCATTTTTGTGCATGTTAGCCATGTTGCATTCCCTCCCCTCAAATGCTGAGGGCCCGAGGTAACTCTTATGTGAGACATATTAATTGTAGTATATTAAATGAAAAAAATAAAAAATATTTTATTGTATTTTTATTTAATCATAAATAACCATAAATAATCGAGAGATTGTTGTATGTATAATTAATCTGCTCAATTGAATAGATCTCTACCATGTTAAAGTATTTAGTAAATAGTAAAAACTACACTATAATAGTATAATATAATGACTGATAAACAATTGTTGTTCATGATCTTGATATAGATTTATTTTTAAGAAACTATAAATTTAATTTACGAATCTCCAAAGTATATTAGTAATGTTTTAAGGACAAATAAAAGTCTGATACCCAAAAAATAAAAAATATTTTCAATAGTTATAATTTATTAAATTTATAGTTGTAAGGTCTTTATTTATAGATCGTATTCTGTAAAATTGTAAAACCATATTCAAATAATTTTAAAACATTTTATATACTTTTTGTTTACAGATTTCATAGACCGTGAACTTAACAGATATTCTCACATGTCATAAAGCTAAATTTATATATATATCTATATAAAAAAAAAGCAAGAAGAAAGATTATTAGTCGGAATTGGCTATTTATTATTCTTGTTTAGATAAAAAGTAGGTTTTAAATACACATATATTAGTAAATTAAATATTTAAAAATCAACAAAAATATTTAATAACTTAAAAATGTATTAAACAATTTTTATCAGGCGATAGAACAAAAATATAAATTATGATAAATATTAGAATATCTTTGTTTGACGAGAAGCTTTTGTCCGTCCACATAGTGATTATGTGCAATATTTATTATGCAATAACTCCAATATATATTATAAATATATATATAAAGAATAATTAAAGTACTAATAATTACTACTTCTGCTTCTTTTACATTCCCCCAAATGCCCCTCCTTTTATTAAATAATTTTTCGTCCCTTCTTTTATTTATTTTTTGTTATTGTTCATAATTTCAATATAAAAATTATATATTGTACAATTACCATGTTGAAAATGAAAGCTCATTGTTTTGTTTGTTTTTTTTTTTTTTTTGTAATTGTAACTAAGAAAAGAAATTAATTGTATTTATTAAATATCTTATTTATTTTCAGATTAGGTTTATTTATTATTATCATTATTATTATTATTATTATTATTACATGTAAATAGTTGTAGATTATTTCTACACAATGATATACAATTCTCTTCCTATACCAATTATTTTTTGTAGTATAAAATTGTAATTGTAATACATTATGTTTTTTTAACAACAAATTAAAAAAAAAATATTAAAATAATATTTGTTTGTATCTTCTAACAAACATCCTATTATAGTATTTTACAATGAATTTGATAAAATACCAGTTATTTTATTTTTAAATTGTAATAAAATTAAAGTCAAGAAATTTTAGTCACAAACAGCATATAAAATGGGTTTGCAATATATTTAATAATGAAAATATAATACACATTAAAAATATCAAAACTTTAACATCTTATATTCAACATTGTCATATATCTTAACTTAGCTAGATTGCTGGAACTATACGAAGTATAAAACTAATGTAGCAGTTTTATGTTATCAGCAAATAGCTAGAAAGATATTTCAATGATTGTTCTAAATCTATAACGGTTTGCAGCATAAAATATCATCCTTCATAGCTACAGCCTTAATCACAGATAATTTCTAAACTCTAGTATGAGCAATTAATAAACACGTGTTGAAACAGAAACATAGAATTTAAAACAATATTTCATTAATAACTAGTGGACGTTTTGAACAAACATAAAATAATTTTCCCCTCTAATTAAGTAGATAACACTTTAATGATACAACAATAGGGATATATCAAAAAATTCTACCAACCAACTTCACGAGATGTATTTAACGCACATGTTTGTTTGGTAGCAATAAATGGATTTGATACTCCGAGCACTGAATTATTAGTACTACTAAAATATATTAGTCTATAAGTGCCTGGATTGAGCACTGAAGTTTCTGAAAATTTCAAACACACTCTTTTTGAACCATCTGAAAATACTTCAGGAACAAATTTTACTCTACACACAGATGTCATGTCGTCAAATCGTCTATATTCATTATTTGATTCATCACATTCCATGATCTCTGAAGGTAAGTACACATATGATATATAGTCATCAAGACTAGTATATTTCTCCTAAAACATATGTTGATTAAGATTCTGATTATAAATTACTAATAATTTTACATACTTGGAATACCCCTATCCAATCATTCACCCATGGAATATATTCTTTTATCTGCAAATTAACTTCATTTTCTGTATCTAAATGCCACGTCTTAATTGGTTGGAAAATTACAGGTTGGTCAACATTGTTGAAATTTCCTTCACTAGATATCTATATAAAAAAAAAAAATATAGAGTAATTAGTAATAACAAACCATTTGATGGAGTCATGGAGATGTAAGCTATATTACTTGAACACTGGATTCGCTATAAACTGGTCTATGGTCACTTAATTGTATTGACTCAATGCACTTATACGATAATACCTCTAGTACACACTTTTCATTTGATGAATCAATTGTTTTATATAAAATGCGATCTGTCCATGCAGGTCTTCTCCTAATAACAATATTTGATATAAGAAATATATTTAAATATATATATCAATATTTGCAGGTAAAACATACTTGAGATCATAACTGCTGGACCCGAAAATATATCGATAGGTAGGTGGAAACATTGGCAAATGTTCAAAAAATCCTTTGAAAGCTTTTGATTTTTGCATGACTGAACTTAACTCATCTTGTAACCAGATGTCAGGTAATGTTGTTGCACTTCTCTGTGATAAATTTACATTGTTAACGTGGCGAGCAATTTCTTCAGCTGACTTTAGTTTACTATTGTCTAAACGAAAATTGAGATCGCCAAACCAAAAAACATAGCTAAAGAAATAGTAAGTATAAATCATTAAAAAATAAATTCTTAAATATCTAAAATAATAAAAAAGATATTTCTTTAACTGTGTAATTTAAATGTTCTGACCTATTTGTCAGGATAAAAAATTATGTTTTGATATAAGATTTTTATCAAATGTACCTACTTAAATTTTGCTGGCATACATTATTTGTTTAATTTTATTTGCCGTAACCCATTTGTAAAAGGTACAATTATTTAAATATCTCAAAGTCAAATTTAAACTGATAGTTTAAAAAAACTATAATATATTAAGCATTTCGTGCAATATTATATAAAATGTTCATAATACAAAAACCTAACTGAAATTAGTTATTAAATAAAGAAATTTACATACTCGTGATCTAAAATAACTTTTCTAGATGAACCAAAATGTTGACTCTCAATGATTGTGTGATAGTCTTTAATTCTATGTTTTAAATATTCTTCATGCGCAGCAAAGTGACAGTTCACACAGCATATTGTCGCCCCATAAATTTTAAAACTAAAACTGACAGCACCTTTATTTCCCTAAAAATGAAAAAAGACAACAATTTCTACATTTTTCAAACTAATCATAAAACAATAATTACCCAAACACCCAAAATTCCAGTACGTGTTTCTGAAGTTTGCATTTCTTTTAAAAGAGGAACATGTTTTCGTTTACAAAAAACATTTAACAGCAATCCGACCATTTTTACAGTACGTATTTTTACATAATGATAGCCACTTAACACATCCCTATAAAATTAAAATTTAACTATATTATATTTAACTACATTTTAAAGTTAAAATGGTAAACATTTTATTTGAACCTAAGAGCTGCTGTCCAAGGGTCATCAAATACTGAATCAAGTAATAAGTTTTGAGGTTGAGCCTTGATTTCTTGAAACCTTAAATTTTAAAATAAACAATTTAAATAATAAATCGAAAAGAAATGACTTTAGCAAATATTTCAATCATCTTATTTAAATAAAATATTAATGCATTACTTTGTTATACATGCAAAATTGATTTTATTTTTACATTTGTAAAACCAAACTGTGCTTTATTGATAAAAAAATATTTTATTTAAAATAAGTAAATAAAAATAGAACCTTCATAATATATTATTTATGAAATAATACGGGTAATAATATTTGGTAGGTAATCGATGATTATTGAGGAGTATTTTGTATGTTAAGCAACATTTTTTTATTCCTTTAATAGCCATAAATATTACATTTAACATAACATAAAAGTTAAGGCGTCAATTTTCTTAATAATATATCAATATAGGTAACATATAACATTTAAATATTTATTTTAGTTGGTATAAAAGTACTTGAAATTGTATGTATCAAAACAACATGTTAAATCCCAAGTTTTTTTATGGACATTTAATTTTTAGAATATTATAATAGCATTGGGCCAATTGTTATCGCATACATAGTAAATTATTCAAGTGGATTGTAAATATAATTTTTTTCAGAACACTTAAATATTAATTATAAATTACAAAAACAACATATTTTAAGGTACCTTATAAGTTATAGATATTCTCTAAATCAATATTTATTAAGCCACAAAAAAACTCTGAAACTGAAAATAGTGTAAAAGCCTGAAATGGCTTAAAATATTTAGTTTTATAGTTTTTGTCAGTAATTAGCGAGCAATATTACAAATACACTAATATTTATTTTGATAAATAATATAAGTTTTTAAGTTGAATAAGCTATTTTATTTTTGCAAATATTCAGAAAATACATATTATAATACAGTATAATTTCAATTTGAATCTAAAAGAAATATTTTTAAATGAAGATCCTGTATAAATTAATGATAAACTATTGAGTAATGTGATTCTTTGTTAGTATCAAAAGATCTCATTTTAAGGGTTTTTACATTTTTTGAGTTCTGAAGGTCATATTTACCAAATGTAAGTTTCAATTTACAGTGGCATTACAAATCAGTGTATTATGCATGCACATAAAAATATATCTTATAATTAATTAGAATTATCACAGCTGAATATAATATATTTAATTACGATCATTGTAAAATATGCAAGTCATACAATAAATAGTATACAATTTAATATTTTAAACATTAAAACATAAGAAAGTTCAGGGTATCATTCAATATTGTATGTTATACACTGTCAATAATATAAGACAAAATACAATATTTCATAAATATTTGTTGCATAATTATAAGAAATAAAATTAATGAAACTATATCATAAATAAGTTATAAGTATTATTCTGTCAGATAGTAAATAATTAACTAGATAATGCAATATTGTTGTACATAATTAGTTCATAAATTATGAATCATACTAATTTTAAATAACAACATTAAACAAATAACTAACTATTATATGGATCATGGGTGCCGTGAAATTAAGTTTTTTATTAGTTCTTATTGCCAACAAGTTTTATGGATTCTGAATTGTAATGCTTCATTTATTATTTTTTTTTTCACACAACCATGTTAAATATTTTCAAGTACCTACCTGCGACTAATTAGATTATGTATGATAATACTGTGTCGAAATTCAGAAAAATATTAAAATAGTTTACTATGTGATTGCAACACCTTATTTATATGTGACATCAGGTATCGCCGAGGGCAATTATCCAACAGTTATGGGTTTCATATAATATTAACATTTTCTGGGTAATATATGCAGCATTAAAATTTACACTTAAAAAAAAACTCACCCGAATAAACAAAAATCTGGTAGCTGGCGATCGGTGCGTCCGTTCCATTGTAGCAAATCTTCTAGGGGTTGTCGGGGAGATCTGGTGGCAACGTTGAAGGTTACGGTGTAGAACCTGGTTGAACAGAAACAAAAAAAAAGGATAGCGTTGGGTTCAAATTCAAATGGGTTAATGGTCGTATATCATCAGCCCCGTTGCGCCCCGACGCTTACGTTAAGTCGCCCATTTTCGCTCGTCCATGAGAATGGACAGCCTGGCTACAACAGTCGACGGCCTTGTGGACAGGACGGTCTTCACGCGAGACACCGACTGTCTTGGTCTGCGGACAACACTACACTGACGGCCGGACGAATGCGGCTCATAGCCGGACGAAATCCAGACGGAAATGGGAAACCGGTCGCGAAGATCAAGGCGATCTCGGAAGATCTTCGAATTTGTTACGCGTCAGCTACACTGCCTAGTCGCGTCGACGATGATAAGAACGGAGCGCAGACCGATCGTCCTCGGTACATTTGACTACTACCGCGAGCAGGTTGCTTTGCGACTGGTAAAACGAGTACGACTACTACGTCTTGTAGTTGTAGTAGTAAAACTAGCAGTAGAAACAACAACAGTAGTAGTAGTAGTAAAACCACTTGTAGGCCGACGACGATTGTTATTACGGCGGTGGCGGTAATTCGCTGCAAATCCGATGTCGTCGTGGTATACCATTTTTTTTTTCGTTTGCGCTGTCCGGTGACCACCGCCTTGGGTGGGGAAGATTCAAGTGCGTTGTGCGTACAACATAATATTATTATATAGTACAGTACAATCACAGCATTGGGAACGGGTTATTATTATTATTTGCGGAAGGATTGTACACGACTTTCTTTTCACTTCACTATTTACACTGTTTACTAATTACTCTTTAGTATGTTACGTCCCGGGAGCAGCTGCTGCTGCACTTGTCTGGGAATTTTTTTTCACTCGACGTTCTAATAAACATGATAATTTATTGTCGTTGTTTATTACATTCCAAATTCCCCCCTCCCCCCGCAACACCCGCACGTGATATCAACGGTGATAACGACGACGCGACCTTGACCGTCAATGACCTAGTGTCGTATATAGTACACACTACACCCACAGAATAACTACACCGCAGCAGCAGTTGCAGTTGCTTGACTATACCATAGTGTTCTGTGACTATACTTTGATGCTTGAGTTATTGCTTATTACAGTTGCAAGGGTCAGGATCAGCGGCGCGTTAGTTTGGCACAGACGAATGTGCGGTTGGCGGTGGTTGACTCCACCGAAAGCAATGTTGAGCATCTTTAAATATTGTAATATTGTCATAACTCGCATACAAATTAGAATATCGTAAAAACCCCATGTGGCATGTATAATACCAGAAAATAGTGTTTAGATGTTCTTACCACAGTTCATAAAGTTGATTAAATAATTTATTTTGAACCCGGTGGGCGGTGACCGGTTAGTATTATAATTACACTTTTCTATTAATCTCCTGCCCGATTCCCGATACCTATTTGGGAGGGATTGACATTTGACAGAGTGTATTATATCGAAAAAAAAGGCCACAACGGCCGCGGAAATAATCAACTCATTTACCTTACATTGTTACACTTCATTGTTATACATTAACTTAAAACTAATAACTTTTATCAAGTTATTTGGTTATTTGTTGGTGAGAAACTTGAAACTTGATACTTGTCATTTGCTAATAAAAATCATCTCGAGTTTCTTATAAAAAAAATTTGATATTTTAAAAAAAAGGATACCTAGCTAGGACAACATATAACTTAAACTGTATTAAATATTCGTATATAATATACGGTCGAATTACATAAGATTGGAACACAATGTATGGAAATAATACATATTTTCAAAACCCCGACCAATACAATTATCATTATTGATTATTGACTTTGAGAGTCAATCCAAATAATAAAATAATAATGTAGCTATTATACCAAACAGTAATAAGGAAATAGCCAAAAAAAAATGTGTAGCAATAAACAAGACTAGCTTAGCCAACCCCTGACTATAAGATTTAGCCTCCCACAAATATCACTTATTGATTTAGATATAAGTCCCCTATGGGTTATTTTAAATAAATAGTTTTATTAGCCCCCCCCCAGAATTTTAACCCTAGTTGCGCCTATGAGCAACAATGTTAGCGGCTAGCCCATATCATAATAACTTATTTTATTATTTTCATTTTTATTAGCTTTTAGTACATTAATAATATTACGGTTCTGCAATGAGAGTGATACAAACAAAAATATAGTACATACAGCCTAAATATCCAACGCATATTTAAGCTAATCGATATTAATTTACCGAATATTATATTAACGTAATATAATTAATAGAAAGGTCAGTTAAATTGTACAGAAGAAATTCTTACATAATCGAATCGTCAGTGCCGGCGCTAGGGGAGGACAAATGGGACATTTGTCCAGGGCCCCGCGCTTGTTAAAGGGCCCCGTGATTTTTAATTATCATCTTAATACGAATACCGTGGTCTACCGTCGTATATTGCATTATTCTGCCTGCAGCGGTCGCGTACTTAGATATTAAACAATTTATTATTTTATTCAAACATTTTGATGAATTAATTTATTTTTAATTGATGATTTTATGTAGTTGTTAAAATAAATGTAAATTAATAAAATGACCAGCCCTTATAAATTTATTAGCCTACGATTTTCCACTCAAAGGTTTAACTGAAACTCACGCTACGCCACTAATTCTGTGCTGAGCGAGGTTTCATCAGGAGGAATCGCACTCGAATGTGTTTTCTCCGTTTACACAAGTAGGTAAGGTAAAGTGGGGTAAGTGTGACGCAAAAATGAAAAGTTAATTTTGAATTTGACAATACTTTTTTTGTTTTTAACTTAAAGTTGTTATTGTTCCATAATGTAACACCTCTAGATATACATAATTGGAATTTATAGTCAACAAAGTTATATTATCACTCACCTAAGAATATATTTTTTTTTTTAATTTTAAAACGTCACACTTGCCCCTTTTCATACAAAATCGGATTGTTTTTGCTATTAGTATTACATAAAATTATATATGGGGCAAGTGAATAACAAAGATAAAAATAAGCTTTAATTTGATTTTTGTTTCATTAAAATATCTTGATTCATTAAGAATTGACAGAGCATTATTTAAATTTAATTATTTACCTATATTATATATAAAAACAGTACTTTTTTTTAAAATCCTGATTTTAAAAAAAGCTAAAATTTCACTACTCTCTGAGAACCTAAAGGCTATTACCTATGACCAGGGCCCCACAATACCTAGCGCCGGCACTGCGAATCGTAAACAATATATAGCGTTTGTCGTAATATTAGAAGTAAATAGTAATTGTATTTGTATTATAGTCTTTACTCTTTAGTTAAGATAAATTATAGAAATAAACACCAATAATATAATGCATACCTATTATACTTTGAGAACATTTCCTCAATAAATATTAAAACCAGTGACAACGACAGGTAAGGCCGCTAGCCCGATTTTACATAATATTATAATAATTTAGTCAGGTTTCATGTTAAAAAAAAAAATTGGATGTCTCGAAACATTATTGGGGCAACGGCATATCGCTAAATGACAATATTTAAAACCGGTAGGTACTGGAAAACCGGGAAGCATAGCAACCACCAGGGCCTAAAATTGTGTGCAGTAACTAATATTAGATGTGCAGTAGCAAATTTAAAAATGTGTAGTACTTATTTTCGGCTCTTATAATTTTTTATTTGATTAATATTCAATATTGATTATTGAAAATTACAATTTAGCATATTGTATTAGTTTAAAATCCATAACACTAAAAATAATACCGACTACACCATATTCTGGGTGGCTTATAATATAATAAGTATATTAACCAGTTGGCAAAAACCCGGGATTTTTTCAAATAAAACCCCTAAAACCCAGCTGGTTTTATTTGAAAAGTAATAATGGGCGGTTTTATCGGGTTTTTTCAGAAAAAACCCGTCCTAAAAAATTAGCCGCACTGTTTTTGATTTTTCCCCTATCTATTATTTTATTACCAAGTATTTGTTAAATTATTCATTAAGTATTTACAGGAAAGTTAAGTATTTAATACCTTATTAAAAAAGATTGTTAACATTTCTATTGACTGTTGGTGTGTAATTCTTTCTGAATATTAACACAAGTTAAAAAAAATTAAGAGTGAATTTCTATTTTATCCAGAAAAGCAGCCCAGGTTAGGTCTGGGCTTTTTCGTGCCTTTTTTTAATATTATTAACCCAAGCTATTTCGTTTTTAATTTTAAAATGTTAAGTCATATAGCCATATATAGGTATCAAGGAGTTTTATAGAAGATTGTCTTAGATTGTATTTATTATAACTAATTATTAATGAATAACAAAAACAATTATGCAATGAAGTTATTGTGCCATGTAGCATGTGTACTACTAGGTCTATGGGGTCTACGGGTCTACTAGGTCTATGTTCATAATTTTAAAATATTTGGAAGTAAGTGTGCAGTAGCAAAATATCTTAATTTGAGGCCCCGGCAACCATCATAAATATATTAAGATTTCTTAAATTCTTAATAATATCTCTATGGTGGCATTTCTAACCTAAATGTTTTCAATTTGCATCAATGTTATATTGTTATATTGTTATTACTGATTGCTAGTTCAGTAGCGTCATTTCAGTTTTTAATAGGACTACAGGAGTAAACTAAATTTTTGACCCACTCACACACGGCCGGAGACAGCGACTTATCACTTATTGAATCACATTTTTCAGTCGGCACGTTCAGCCACGTATTACATATTATTGTCAAATTAAAAAAAATAATAAATTAAATTAAATTAAATACTCCACAATGGAAACTAATGATTTATTTTAAGCTTAATGTAATTCATTTTTCGCTGTGTCCCCGCCACCACCAACATTTAATGGATATCGTACAGCTTGACTCCACTTGAGTATTTATTGTTTTGGAATAATATTCTAGTTCAGCAATTATTAGCAATGTAAACAATTTTTCGGATATTATTCAAAATGCGTTTTTGAGCTTAAAAATACCAAACAATTAACAAATCAGAATTTCTTTTTCTTTAGTGTAAGTTTATAACATAAATTATATCATTTTTTTGGTACCTACTAAACATTAAAACATTTTGGTGAAATCATTTCACAGAATTTATCTATCGTATTTACTTTGTATGTTATTGT